CTGTTTTCAAATTCCATTCTCTCTGTGTCAGAAGCACAGCAGTAAGGTTGCTTCTCTGTATGAGGGAAATTGTTTTCTGCTAACTGATGACCTCAGCTTAGCAGTTTCTTTTCCAGCACATCAAAGCTCACAGTCAGACTTGCTGCAGCAAGTGCACTTTTGAGTGGCTTTATGACATATAAAGACCCTCTTTGGCATTCATACTGTGCTGCTCTACTGTTTACAAGCTAGCAGTAAATTATTTATGGATATTACCAGAGATAGGGCTCACTCACTCTCCTCTTTTTAGCCCCAAAGCTATATTTTATCTGGTAGCAAGATTTTATGTAGAAGCTAGTGTGTGTGTGTGTGTGTGTGTGTGTGTGTGTTATGGCCTCTTTGCATTTATGTGACAGGTTTTATGGTACTAGTCCCATCAACTTTTTATTACTTTAAACTTGTTTTGGAAATTATTATTAACTACATCATGGACTCAACAAATAGTTTTTTTTCCCAGAATTCCCATTTTAACATAATTTCAGGAAGGCTCTTCCTGAATCAGTTTAGAGGAATACTGTGAGAAAACCTCCTTATGGATCTAAAGCAAAGCAAAAGATCTTTAGGTCATTTTGGAGCATTGATCTATAACTGGATTTAGCATATGTGAGAGTGTGTGTGCATACGTGTGTATAGTCAGTTGATCACTAAAGGAATCATTATAGGATGTGCAGTTATTTTTGCCAGCATCAATGTACTTCAGCTTTTTAAATGTGCAGAATATTATTTCTGGTTGAGTTTACACTGACATATTTCCAACCACTCCCTCTGATTTTGGGACATATTATCTTGTTTTTCATCTCTCCCCACAACTTCAAGTGGTAATGTTTTGTTCTTAAATTTGCCAGACATTTATAAGATTGACTATTTTCTAAAAAACAGTAATACTGAAAGTATGTATAGAAGGCAATACTAATCAGAACACATAGCTCGCCTCAGCCCCACAGCTCTCTCTAGTAGATCTTTGCTTTTATTGGGACTGATAAATTATCAATTACAAATTTAAAAAATAAATTATTAATAACTTAACAAGGGACAAACTATTGGATGTCAATAAGAATATCCTTCCGAGTGGATTTCATTGGTAGACAGAAACTTTATGCCAGTAATTTAGGCTCTAAGGAAATGCTAAGATCCTGTTAGAAATAAAGGACAAAAGATGGAATCTACTTAGAATCAAGTCATTAGTCCATGGGTATGATAAAACTATTGGCAACAGGGAATAAAAGAACTAAAGAAAAGTTAAATTCGATAATATTATTTTTAATTGATTTCTTTGTTTTATAGAGGCATTATATTAGGGACTCGAGATTTCCTAGTTTAAAGGTGGGGTAAGTTAAAAACATAGCATGATTATCTATGAGTTTCTGGTGTAGAGAGGTCTATGGGATTTATGACAATGGTTAGCCAATCTGATATATTGGATCCTGTAAAAATCTTGGTCCTTGCATGCAGCTAGATTTTATAGGTTGTACTTTCTTCTTGATGAGAAAGTAAAATTGGTAGGTAAAGAGTTTAGAAAAAAAAACACAGTCTCATGAAAATTGCATTTACAAATTTGCATAAATTGGTCAATATATAAGGTTGGTTTATATATGATTATAGGGCTCTAGGTCTGAGGCCTTCAATAAAAAAAGAAAAATAAACAAAGCAAATGACATGAAAAGGAAAAGAAAGAAAACCAATGCAGTAACAATAACAAAAATTCAAGTTTAAAATTTCAATAAATTCAACAACATTGGGTTGACTATATATTCTGGTTCCTGACTGTTAATTATCTTTAGTGTTCATTTTCACTATCAAAAATGTTCCTGTTTGCATAATGTCCTCTATGTTCAAAATGGCAGAATCTCCTTTTGTAGGGCTGAATAATATTCCTGTGTGTGTGTGTGTGTGTGTGTGTGTATACATGCACACACATGCCACATTTTCTTTATTCATTCATCTGTTGATGGACACTTGTTTCCATATCTTGGCTATTGTGTATCATGCTGCAGTAAACACAGGAGTGCAGATGTCTTTATGAGGTGATGATTTTATTTCCTTTGGGCATATATCCAGGAGAGGAATTGCTGGGTCATATGGTAGTTCTATTTTTAATTTCTTTAGGAACCTCCATACTGTTTTCCATAATGGCTACACCAATATATATTCCCACCAACAGTGTACAAGGGTTCTCTTTTCTTCACACCCTTATCAACATTTGTTATTAATCTTTTTAAAAAGTCAAATATACAGAGATAATAGAATAGTGGGTACCAGGGGCAGGAGAAGGAAATGGGGAAATAAATATATGTCAGAGGAGACAAAGTTAAAGATATGTGAGATAAACAAATCTGGAGATCTAATGTACAACATGAGGATTATAGCTCATAAAATTGTACTGCATTGTGGATTTCTGCTAAATGAGTAGATTTTAGCTGCTCTGGTCACACACACAAAATGGATAACTATGTGAGATGATGGATATGTTAATTTGCTTCATTATAGTAGCCGTTCTACTGTCTATATGTATTCCATAACATCATGTTGTATACCTTTATTATACGCAATAAAATTTAATTTTAAAAAATTTTCTTTGGATGAAAAAGTGTACAGTTACCTGAAGGAAC